GGCCCTATGCTTGCTTTGCACAGGGGATGCCTGTAGAACAGACTTTCTTTCACCTTCGGTTCCTTGTTGCAGGAAAACTGTTTGCACAAGTTTGCCCAAGTTTGAGCTCAGCTCTCTTCAGGGAGCCAAATCCTCAGACATCGGAGCTGAAGGGCGGGGTGGAGACTCTTTTCTTTCCAAAGCTGAAGCTCTATCTTTAAGCACATGATGGTTCCTAAAACCATGGCAACCCAACAAAAAAAGCGCCTGACAACAGAGTCCACATACAGTAATTGGCAAAACGCTTGTGCACACCTGCCTAAAAATGGCTCGGAAATAAAATTAAAGACTTGCTATAATTAAGTCCTACTAGGATAAAATGTGTTCCAGGTGTAGCAGTCTATATTCTTCCTAGTCTGAAAGCTTCTCCTTTAGTAGAAACTGAGAAGATAAAAGACAAAGATCTGAGAAGTGCACTAGTGTGTGATGTATAATAGGGGAATATTAACTGAGTGAACATAAGTGACCAGCAAATTAGAGGGGACCTGTTTCTGAGCTTTATAGCAGGACATGAACATAAACCAAAGGTTTTCCCTCTTTTCTGAGGCCAGCCAAATTCCTGAATTCCCGGTGCTCTGAAACAGGAGGAGCACTGTGGTGAAAGCAGGTCATTGAATATATTCTGGAGAAAGCTGAGTTTTAATTTGACGGCTTTATTGATGGGTGAAGGAGGAGGGAGGGAGACTCCCACATTCCTCGTAGACATTCACAACTTTTTGTTGACAGAGAACAATAGAACTGAGTGCACAAACACCAAAAGAGCCCTAAAGGTCAACTTGGCTGAAAACCCTGAGAACTTTCACCTAAAACCTGGACTGTCTTCGTATAACAGAACCACCAGAGCACATCTGAGTTACTGTTCAGGTACTTTCTGCTCCCCCTCTTCTGCTGGCCAGCATCCCCTGCAGGCAGGGATGCCTGGCTTGGGACTGGTACCTATAGCAATAGGACACCACATGCTGCAGCATGTGGAAGCAGGAAATACCCAAACACCACCCTCCTCTGGGTTCTACAGCACAGAGGAGTGATGATTTAAGGAAACAAATACAGTGGCCACAGTTTATGTTATTTCCACTTCCAGTATTTATTGTCCACAGCAACATGTAAGTCTGGGAGCTGTAGTGTGTGTTATTAGCATCACTTATTATCCAAAGTCAATAATTCTTGTTAATAAGGATACTTTTCAGAGTTTTACAGAACACAAGGCACCCTTTGCTGAAACAGCCTTGGTTTCTCTGTGCTTGATACTGAATGTCAGGCTGGGTTTGCTTTTCGCTGTCTTCAAGCCTCACCTAGAATGATGTAATAGATAAGCTATAGCTCACAGGCATGGTCTGGCCACTTGTGCACACCGCTAGTGCTTAGTACCTGATGTGGACCTGCATGGGTGGCAGTGTGGGAGACAGATTTGGGCTGTGCTGTCACACATCCCTCCCAGACCTCCACTGGCCTCTAAGGGACCAGCTTTCTCCCCCATACTGCCTGTGGGGAGGACTCTCCAGGAGAGAGGGGAAAGCAGGGGTGGGGGATTGCAAACCAAAACCTAGCTCGTTTACTTAGCATCCCTCTCTGCCTTGGCCCTGTCCTTGAACCCAGATGGAACTGGGCACTGCAGTACAAACCACGCCTGATTGACCCTCTGTAATCGGTGCAAAGATGTTAGATCAGCCCTACTCCCATTGAAGCCATGGGATTTTAATTACTAACTGTAAAAAGGGCACTGAATGAGGCCCAGTCTAACCCAGCTGCCACATCCCCAGTTCGAGACACTGTTTATTTGTTTAAAGAGGAAGAAGGGGCACACCAAAACTGCAGGACTGTTTCAAAACCAGCAGAAAGATGTCCAAATCCCACCCCTTTTGCCAAACAGGACTTGGGAAGCTGAAACTAGGAGGGACAAAGTCTCCGTGATCTGGCTCTGGCAACATCATCCATCTAATTTTCATCCTCTCCTTTTCAACACATTTTGCTTTGAAGAGGAGAAAGAACAAACTTCTGATCTTCTGCATAGATCAAGTGGAAAAGAAAGGTTAAAACCCTAGAGCTTAATCATTTTAATTCACCGTAGCATACATGTCCCACTCACTGGGAACCCAGGCTGCAAGGCAGAGATTAAAGGCAATTTATTGTAGAAGAAAAATACCTGGCCCAACTGTACAATTGGCACAAAGAAATCTGCATTCCTTTCAACCTGGCCCAAACTGAGCTGAGTTATTTTCAGCTCCTGTAAGTTCTTCATAGCAAAACACCTATGTCTATCTTAGTGAATGTGTAACTGCAGGCTGCACAGACGCGCAGGGTCCGGTTAAAGGTTGTGTATCCATCCCTGGAACTTTCTATGTAGCCAGTGTTAAGCTGCGCTCAGGTTTCATTGGGTCCTGTCTGGCCTCAGCTACCTCTTTTTGTCCCTTCAGCCTGTGATGTAAAGTAGCTTTACGCAATGCCACTGCACACAGGGCCCTGTGGAAAGGGCCCTCCCATGGGAAGGGCATAAATCCAGCTACAATCACGACACCCCACACCAGGGAAAAGAGGAGCTTGCCCGAGGGGGACAGCGTTGGAGGGGTGGCACACACCAGAGCCAAGGCAAGTAGGCACACTTACTGGATTTGCTTTGAAAGCCAGTCTTTCAGCTCAGGTTTTCCTGATTTTCTGAAAAGCTTGGGGCTGACTTCTCTAGGGAAATAAAACACGCTGGCTTCCACAGATGGGGCTTAGTGTAAATGCTGGCAAAGAGAACTGCTCCTCTTCTGCTCATGGTGGCTCTGGCAGCTGTAGAGAAGTAACTGCTGGGCACCAAAGGTGCCTAATGGCACAGCCTGACTGGCTGGCACACAGCCACCCTCCCGGCTGCCACAAAGAAGATTAAGAAATGCTTCAAAAGAATTGTAAGGTGGAGACACAGGGTGAAAAGAGCAGTGCCTGTAATTTGTGGCTTTTTGGTTTGTTTTCCTGAGCTATCCCAGTCTGGAAAATGCAGCAAGCAGTCTAGAAATGCACTAGCACAGTGGTTCAGTTAACTCTGAAAGTGAAGTTGGGAAGGCACGTCCCAAGATAATTTTTTAACTGGTCATAAGCAATGAGGAAGCTCTGTGATGCATGTTACTTGCTGCCAGCAGGACTGGGGAGGTGAAGACAGGGCAGGGAGCAGAAGGAATGGCAGCATCGACTGCCGCTGCCTACATGCTAATTTAGAGGATTGGGTGGAAGTGAATAGGGAAGAGCAATCCTTGGATGAAGAGATCTACAGCAGGTCCTCCCCTCCATATCTCTGAGGAGCAAGCAGTTTCAGACCTGACTCGCAGGCACTGGCTAGGAAGAAGCTAAGAAATCCTGAGGGGCCATCACAACAGCAGAAACTCCATTTGCAAACCAAGCTGTTAGACAGGAGCCTACAGCCTGGGAATATAGATGTGCACTTTAGCAGGCATATGCACTTAGCAAGGTACGTCTAATTACCGAGCATCTGCATGTCTCAGTTTTTGTATTTGCAAGAGAATGGTGATACTGCAAACTGGAGTATTATTAAGCATGAAACTCAGGGATCTCTCAGTGAAATGACTACGGTTATCCATTGTAAGTCAGGATGGGAAAGTGCCAGGTCTTGAATGGCTGGATTTAAACCCAAACACTTCCGCTCTGTGTAAATTAAAGTGTTGGTGAGACAGACATTTCACTGTGTCTTCTCAAAAGGCTCAGGCTCTCAGCATTACAATACCTGAGAAGCTGGAGCAACATAAAGCATCTTAGAGAAAGAAGGTGGAGAGCAGAGCTTGGGTACTTAATATTTTGCCCATCCAGTGAGTCCTGCAGAGCCTGGAAATGGCAAAAGGGGGAATAGAGCTACAGTAAATAAGAAATTACTAGTAGAATAAAAATACAGTTCTGAACAACAGCATTTTGACCAATGATAAGTGTTATAGATGCATAATTTCCAATGCATTTCTATTTCAAATGCACAAATTCTAAGTCATATACTATAAATCCAGAGAGAGTACAGCAGAGTGGTTAGTTACCAAAATACTGGATGCAGGAAAAGCAATTACTATAAAAATGCAAAATTTGTCACTGTGTTTGCACATATGCGTGTATCCACGCCTGTGTGCATATATGCGTGCCCGTGACTTTCTCCTTCCCAGTATGCACCAGATCCTTTGTGCCAGAACACCAGTGACATCCACACACAGTAAAATTCTCTAGTTCTCATCAGGAAAACCAAGAGCAGCATGTGGTCCTTTACTTACAGGAGAAGCCTGCCTGTACAGTGGAGTAAAACTCAGCTTACCCTTCTAAGTCTGTGTTCAGATAAAGAAGGGGATATGAAAATGGTTTCAGTGTTAACACATTTGTATAAAGAAGCCTTGAGTGTGTTTGTCTAGGAGCTAGAACGAATGTTTGTGCTGGGCTGTGAGAACACAAAATGCTCTTCTAGGGCCAAGAATTATGCTGACTAGGCAGACAAAGAGGGAACGTCCAATGGTTGGACCTTAAAAGACCTGTTTTCCAAACCCACTTGTCGCGTAACAGCAGGCAAATCGCTTAGCCTGTCCATGTGTCAGCAAGATTTAGTGTAGCAGTTTGCAGACAGTGCTCTGGCCAGGTCCCATGAGCAATGTAGTTTCATTATTATAATGTTTTGTCAGAGCTAGCACACTCCAGTTTGCAAGCACAACCACATTGCTTCCCGTGCTAAACCCTTAGCGGACTGCAGTGGGTAATGGAATCAAACCTGTGCTTAGCACTTCCCCACCTGCAGCCACTGAAACTGGTGGCCATCTCACACTGGGCTTTAAAGGGGGCACAGTCAGACCAGTCAGCGCTAAATTCCTGCCTTTGTAACTCCAACGCAGCACAAACGCCTCACCCTGCAAGAAAGAAAAACTGTATTTACTGCCGGCTGATCAGCCTTCTTTCCTCCCGACTTTTTCTTTCAGCAGGCTCTGTGGAAGCAAGTTTTCAACATGAACCTGGTAGCAGAACTTCTCTGTCTGTTGGCGTTCCTCACCCCACTGACTTGTGACCGGGTCTATGTTCACCCTTTCAATTTGTTTTCTTTCAACAAGAGTAACTGTGAGGAGCTGGAAAGCCTGGTCCCGGAGGGAAAGAAAACCTTTGTACCTGCCTCCATCGAGTCCCAAACCACACCTGCCTATGAAAATGACCTGAACAAGGACCAGGTGGAGGCCGCAAGCCACAGTGGCCAGGGGCAGCAGGCACTGCGCTACGTGAAGGACTTTGTGCACATCCTGGGCGCTCGGTTTTACAGCGCACTGCGGGAAGCGCGGCAGGGCCAAAACCTGCTCCTGTCCCCAACCAGCCTCTATGGCTCCTTGGTGTCTTTCTACCTGGGTGCCTCAAACCAGACAGCAGCTGATTTGCAGGGTTTGCTGGGATTTGTTCCCCCCTCCGGAGACCCTGACTGCATCTCCAGGGTGTTCGGACAGGAAGTCTTTTCCAGCCTGAGGATGATCGAAAACCTTGTCAAGAGTAGGGACGAGGAGCTGCAGTTTTCCAAGATGCTCTGCCTGTTCTCTGCCCCTGGAGTGCCTCTATCCCAGCTGTTTGTGCAGGACTTGCTCCCTTCTGCTGATGCTCTCTATGCCCGAGCTGTTGACTTTTCAAACCCAAGCGAGGCAGCAAAGCAAATAAATACCTTCATGGAGGCCAAAAGCAAGGGCCAAAGCAAGTGCTTACTGACAGACGTTGATCCATCTGCTGACCTGCTGTTTGCAGTGGATGTCTGCTTGGCAGGTATGAGGAAGCAATGCTTATTTTGGGGGCAGGCTGTGTGAAGTAGTGGCCGTGCTTCTGGGAAGGCCACAGCTCCTTCAAACACAGGGGTACTGACCTGTCCTGGTTCACAACTGGCATAGTATTAACGGGCTCAGTCCCAAAGTCAGTAGGAGAGCTTTGAAATTTTTCAGTATCTTTCCCAAGACTATCTAAAATCAGTTACTATCCCACTTTGATGCTTTTAGCTATCTAAATGCTCAATTCTTTTTTTTTTTTCCTTTTAACTCTGTTACAGTCTTGACTTTTGCTATCCTGTGAGAATAGATTCTGCAGGTTATACAGATCCTGTGAAGGTGGCTCTTTGCTGCTCTCATCCCTTAATATAAAATAAGACAAAAAGGTGAATTACTGCCTTATCCTTGTTTTGCTTACACCTTTCAGATCTCCTAACTGCTGCTTCTTTTTGGTGAAGTTATAGTAGGTGAAAGTGCCTAAATGCTCTTTTTAGAAAAGCTCATTTAAAAGGCAAGTGTTCCTATGCAAAATCACTCATTACGTATTAAATATGTTAGGGTCCAGCCTTTACCTGGTTTTATTGGAGAATAGACTAGTTAACCGTACAGCTAGACCAGCTTCTATTTTATATTAGTGTTAGTTACATTAATGTTAGGAGTCCTTTTGTTTAACACAACATACACATCTATATTCCTAATTCCCTAATTCCACTGAACATCAATGTCGAGATTTCTGGTCTTTGCCCAGTGATGGCAGTAGTTTCTTTAATGCCAACAGGATTATCTGCTTAACTGGGCAGCGGCGCTGATCTGTGGCAGTGAGCAGATAACATGCTGAAATGCAAAGCTGCATAGAAGCAGGGGGAGGTGAGAGCAAGGGTTCCCGTACTTTTGAACTGGGTAAGAAATTTATATGAAGGTTTAGCAAACATTCAGGTACGTCCTTTCTAACCTCCTTGGCTCAATTGACACTTCAGAGCTGTGCTTACTACCTTCCCCGTTGCTTTGGTTCACATGATAGCAAGGGTGAGAACTCAGCCAGAGCTTGTGCTACCTCCTCTCTCCTGAGCCCACCCAACTACCGAGAGCACTACTGCAGCAAGGGCTGCTCCTGATGGATGTGCTCCCAAATGTACCATCAACACAATGCAAGGGATGGAGAGGAAATCTAAGCAGACCCTGCACTGTGAGGAAGGGGGCAACCAAGCAAGCAGTAATAGTGTTCCCAGGAAAGGCCACAAAGCCAGCAGAAATACAGCAGCTTTGGCTGCAGTCCGAATGGTTGTGGTCCCTGTGCTGTGATCGTGCACCAGCCTCTGCCTCGTGCCACCAGAAAACATACTAAAGGCAAGATACATGTGTTTATTGCAGTTAAATATGATTTTATAGACACAGCCCTTGTCTAATCCACAGGCTGTTGGTTTTAAACAAACATATGTACTGGCTGAGGGCAAAGGCAGGGAGTGAAGGAAGAGTCAATTTCCTCTTTCTCAATCTGTTTTTCAGTGAACGTTAAGCAAGTCTCCCGGCTCAAAGAGGCTCAGGAGTTCTGGGTGGATTCAAACACGAAGGTCATGGTTCCTATGCTGTCATTCACGGGGACATTCAACTACAAAACTGATGCCAGTGGGACTTTTTCTGTGGTGGAAGTGCCCATCAGCAAGACCCTACTGCTGGTGCTGCTGCAGCCCATCAATGACAGCGACGTGGAGTCCGAGCTGCCATTGCAGTCCTTGGCCTGGCTCCAGCAGCTCTCCCCGAGGTAGGGCTTGGGCACAGGCATCCTTCCATAGGGAGGAATGAGACAAGGTGCACCTCACAGACCTGCCCGCTCACTGACTGGGGGTTGGATGCTGTGAGGGAGGGTTTAACACTCAGTACAAAGAGAAACAACTGCAAACCCATGGCATGGGAATGGAACTAGATGATCTTAAAGGTCCCTTCCAACCCAAGCCATTCCATGATAAACCTGGGGGGCCTCACTCCAGGGGAGCTCAACTTTGGAGGGATTGGCTTATTATCTGGAGGTGTTTCAAGGAAACAAGCAACAGGACCCATGAAGTGGGATGATCTGGGGTTTAATAGCATACCCAATGCAGATTTAGGTTAACTTCCCACTTGGAAACAGTGACATGGTGTCCATTGGCCCTTGGTAGCTGTTCTGTCCCCACACACCGAGCACTTCTTGTGGCTGTTACCACAAGTCTGTTCCCCAGGGCTGCTCAAACATTATGTTTTCAGTGGAGAGCACGCACTCACTCTTCTCTCTCTCTTTTTTCTGTAGAAAAATTAGATTAACGCTGCCAGAGTTAACAATAGAAGGCAGCTCCGATCTACAGGAGCTTCTTGCAAATATGGAACTGCCTACGCTGCTGGGGAAGGGGGCAAATCTCAGTAGAATAAGTGATGCCAATCTAACAGTTGGAAAGGTACAGTACACATTACTGGCACTTAAAAGCTATGCCTCCTGCTCATTTACAGCCTCTTTAACTGTGTAAATTTACCTAGAGCAAACCAGTCAGAGCCGTGTGGGACATGCTCAGTTGGGGAAGAGCCGTGTGGGACATGCTCAGTTGGGGACTTTTAAGATGACTGGAAGATATGAATACTCCTTAGATTAACCTGTCAGCAGCAATGGGTTTGCCTTCAAACTATACAGATTTCATCACAGCAGCAAACACAACAAGCAACACAGAGATGAAGTCTGAGATCCAAGTGTGCTAGGTGCTGTACGTACAAGTTAGACTGCATTTGTTACCACCTCCAGCTCAAACACCTCCAGGCACCACAGCTGGAGCATGTAGTAGAGGCTGCAGCTACTGGGCTGTTGAGGATAATGCTCCATCATTCTGGGAGGGACTATTCCCAGAAATCACACACACAGAGGTGCATGCAGCACACAACCTCACCTGAAGACAGGCTCCAATGTTCAAGTTCCAAGGGGAAGGAGGGAGAGCTTGAAGGAGAGGGCTGTCTTTCATAAAAAGAAAACAAATTATGTTAAATTGTTAAGCAGTTGTAGAGCTTTTTCACATGTTCTGGAGCAAGTGCTCCAATATCTTTTTCTAAATCATCCATGGAGTCTATCCTGTGCCGCTATCTAAGTTACTGATTACTTCATGTGCTTCATCATTTACTCAAACTCTCATTTGTCTCTTCACTGTCATGCTCTGATGACTCCAGTTACTTGTGTATTTTGTCTTGCAGGTAATAAATAAAGCCTTTTTCAAACTGATCGGTGATGGAACAGATCAGCCAGAGGACCCCACAGCACAGAAGGAAGATGTGGTATTCCTGGATGTAACGCTGAACAAGCAGTTCCTTTTAGCTGTTTTTGAAGAGAAGACAAGGGCAATGCTTTTCCTTGGCAGAGTAACAAACCCTCTGCATGGGCTTTAAAGGCAAGCACAGGGGACGGCGAGGGTGGGAATGATGCGCATTTCCCATCACCTTTTTCTTACTCATCAGCTATTTTTATGATCTCGTTGAGTGCTCTACTTAGTTTTGATATGAAGCATATAGTGTTTGAAATACAGCTTTTTGAAAGCTAAAACACTGCAACATTTCATCCCTGATCATCAGTTTCATGTGAGGTGATTCAAACTGTTCCTCCAGCTTCTCTTCTTTCCTTATTCCCACTTTGTCTCCCTTCTGCCCCCCAGCTCCCTTTTTTTGATGCAGTGGGGACAAAGTAGTAGCCAGCAGGGCAGTGACTTCAAAAATCGTTTTATAAGCACAAGCAGCATCTACTTTGGGAAGGTACAGAAAAGAACCTCTTCATTCTTTAAGAGGTCACTTTGTAATTTTTAGTTTGGTTGGTTTTGCATGAGAGACCCCTTTTTATGTTAAAGTTTTACTGTTACCCACAGAGATTTCTAGCTTCATCAGCAACATTTTCCTTTAACATGCTGCCAACAGCACGGGCAAGCTTTGCCTGTCCCACTGAGACAAAATTTTTTGCTTTGGAAGCAAAAACGCATTCAAAGTTTCTTCTTCCTGCAGCCCAGATGGATACATTCATTTCCTAACTCTGTGGAAAAAGCTAAAAATAGGGTTTGGGAGCATTAATGAACTGTGATGGATAAATTCTCATTGCCTGACAGAATTATCCCTGATGTTTTTAGAAAAAGAAAGATGAGGCCTACTGTTCCAATACAATTCCATTCCTTGGATTACTTTCTAACCTGAGAGACATTTTTAACAGCCTTATAATGAAAAAGAACATTACTGGCTAGAGCCAGATCCATAAACTTTAACATATCTAAACCATATGTTCTTAAAGAATAGTACTAATGGCAGTAACCTATACTAGTGCAAATGATGGATGTGCTGCTACACATGAATGAAAAGGTTTCGGTGATCCAATCCAACTCCTAATGGAGTCATAAAGGTTTGAACCCTTAAACTGGAACAACAAAATATTAGAAGATTCTTGAATTAGGAAGTGAGGAATTGGGAGTGAAATCTTGGTACCAAGGAAAGCCTCTCAGTGGAACAAAGATTTCAACCTCTCATCTCTAGATTTGTCTTCAGCACTGTTGGTATGCAGAAAATAACTGCAAACCTCTTTGGTGTATGATGCCGGATGTATCCTACAGAGCACAGTAGCTCATTGTCATCCGCAGTGGCCCAAATGTCTCTCCAACCCAAATCCAATAATGCCAGTGGCTTGCTGTTGGTGATGCAGACACATGACAGATCCTTCAGAAAAGACAAATAAATAACACAACTCTTGAGAATACTGGGATTTCAAGTGCTATGACACAGCAGCCACATATTTACCTGATTATACTGTTACGTATTCCAGATGCTCTAACATCTAATACTGTACTTGTATACAGAAGCAATTAACTATAAATATGCAGAGATGGAAAAATGCAAATAAACCCACTTCCAAGTTGTTTTGCCACAGTTCGGTTGGGTTTATGTCCATAACTACACCCCTTCTTCTGGCTTCTGAAATCTGCTCCAGGTCAGATTTATGTTGTTCTGAAACATAAGTTGCGTATTATCATGCAATACAGCCAATGATATAGCTGTAAGCATGGAAGAGGCAGCTTCCAAGTGCTCACACTAATTTAAGTTATCCCATTTGCTCATTAAAGTCAGAAGGGAGCATCAGCCACAAATGAAATTTCAGAGCACTAATTGTTTCATCTCTATGATGAAGATTGAAAATAATAAAAGGGAGACCCAGGGCCCTGGACAAAATGTCATTATTTGCAGGTGGGGGCTGCATGCTGCTGGAGGGCTCTGTACCCTGTTCGGTGGTTACAGGCAGAAAAACAGAACCCACCACACATAAAGCCAAACACTTTTCAGAAAACAAACTTTGTGGTGGAGAGTGCCTTTCCTCCGACACCCTGGAGAAGAAAAGAAAGAAAGGGCAGAGACAGGAAACTAAAAGCACACTGACCAGAACAAGGACTGTGAATAGAGAAGTGCTGAAGCAAGTACTACAGTACCAAAAAGACAAGCTATCTCTACATGTACCATTCTCCTAGACATTCAAATGGTAAAAAAACCCAAACAAAACAAAAAATACATCCCCCAACTAAATCTCTCTGCTTCCCCAACAATGTGTATCTCCTGAGACTTGTTTCTGACATCAATTTTACATCTAAAGTTTTTATGGCATTTTATACCCTTCATTCTCCTGCAGTTCCATCAAATCCCTCCGCCAGGCACACAGTGATGCCCACCCCAAGCGTAATTCACACACTGAGCTCTCAGCTAACAATCTAAGTACCTAAGATCTTGCTCTAACAAATGGGAGATTTGGAGAAAGAAAACAAAGACGAGGACAGGCTTTCTAAGTTTCATCAAAACAATACAGTTTATCTCTGAGATAGCTGGCAATTATGCTGATATGCTTATGAAAGGAATACCTAGGCAATTTCTTTCCTTAACCCTCCAGTTCAAGCATGAAAACACACTGCTTATAGAAGAGTAAATATTCCTCAATATTGAGTGGTCCAGCCAAATATATATATTGTTAGTTACCTTTAGATTATGAGATTAAACCAGCCTGGTCCTCTTCTGGTATAACCCACAAACTTGAGACTCAAATACCACTTTAGAGGAAAACATGCCATCACTCTTAATGCTATAACACAAACCCTCTTCCAAGTAAATTCCTTCCAGAATTAAAAGGCATATCAAGTGTTCTAGAAGGCCTAGAATGGAAGAAGAAAAGGTTCAAAAATCTGCATTACTGTCATGAAGGGAAGCACACATAAAAATAAATCTGAGGAACAGAAGAAAGATTAGTAGCAGAAGACATCTCCATCAGAACACACTTACTTACACAGTAGATCCTCTCCTCCTGATACACAATATTTGAAAATGCTAAAATTCATTTTACCAAAGACAAAGCCAATTCACCTCATTCCTTTCTTTCAACAGGAGTATCGCAAACTCTAACTAACATTGTATTACACTGAAAGAAAACTAAATGCTATTCAAGTGGACAAAAATAAAAGATGGGGAACTGACATAAGGCCAGTGATGTAGACATTTACAGCAATCACAGGGCCATTCAGTGACTTTGATTTGCTATACAATGTTATTTCCTGCCCTGAAATTAAAGCTGGTCTTCAATGGAAAAGAACAGAATTCAGCCTGTATACTTAGCAAGCCATAGATGGCAAGCAGCAAGTGTTGTTATTGCAGGAAGATGTGGGAAATCATGTGCAACAAAAAGGCAAGTAACTTTTTCATGCCTTTTTGGTGTGGTACACAGAATGCATCCTCTTTCCTGATTTTGGAGGATACAGACAAAGCTGTATGCACAGATCTCAGAATCTGCTACTTTTGTAACAGCTGTTATAGAAACAGAAATTTACAGAGATACACACCTTCCAAAACAAGAAGTTGCACAATGCATTTACAATGCTACAATCTCAGTCTCAGACTACAAATTACACATCTGTTTTATAGTAAGAAAACGTTGTTGAAAACAACAGTAAACAGTGGTAGCAAGATGTCTCTGCTCCTGACTCTTAATAAAAGCAAATGAAGAGGCACAGAGAGTCCAAGCTTTCTAGGTTCATCAATTAGAAGCCCGAAAAAAACCAGGATATAGGCAACAAGTTTCTTGTTCATAAGCAGTAAGAATTAGGTGCATTCAGTAGTGTGTACCTTGGCTGGCTGTGGATCTCCACGTCACTGAATGAAACAAACAGATATGACATCTGACAAACTGGCTCACTTTGCTGTTTCTTCAGCAATGAAAGTGGATGCTCTGTCAATTGTGTATGTTGCCATGAACAGAGAGATGTAAGCTAACTAGGAGAGCCAAATCCTGCTCTCCATTACTCAGACCGAATCCAAGAAGAATCAACATAATTTTAAGCAGCAGTACTTTCCCCACTGTCCCCCTTTATAAAATTAATATTGAAAGTCCTAATAATCACCTATCCTAATCACTTCGAAAGCACAGTGATCACGTAGTTGTGTCTTCTCAGCTAAAATATGACCAGTTTTCCAACAGTGAGGAAGAAAAGCCTTAATGCAGTGAAAGGTGTGCTCACTACAACTTCAATGCTACAGAATAGCCATGTGCTGTGGACTCTGTATCTCTGTACCTGGAAGACTTGCATTGTCTTCGGCTCCCCCATTAAGACCCAAGCTCTCTAAATACTTTAGGAAGAAATGGCTATTTTTAATTAATAAACATGAACTAGAATTCTAGTGATAAATCTTTATAGGGTAAGAAAAAAAAGCAGAAACCCAAAACCACAAACAAAGCCTTCTTTCACTCACACAGGGGATTCTCTCATTTGAAAGCCTCAAATTCACCTCCCACTGTCCCCAACTGTGTTACCTGTCCCTCACATGTAAAAGAGATGTCTATATGCAAATCACTCTAGGTTCAAGAGAGATCTTTGTAACTAGGTTTGAAGTTACAAGAATTCAACATGTATTCAGGCAAAAAAAATCCCCTGAATTCCAACAGACACCCACTACCCCCCC